ACTAAATAGCTATAGCCTTAGAAAAAACGAGCACAGATAATAAGATTACCCGTTTGGTCTGAAGTTATCGACAGATAATGACACCGGGTCGCCTACGTCATGCAACAACAACAATAACAACCTTTGTAGCTGCCAGGATTTAAAGTTATTACGTAATTGTATTTTTTCGTGCTTTTCGTTTCTGCTTAGAATGGTTTTTGCGCCTTTGTAGCCTTTATTACCATTAGTCAGTAAGTCTTACATTGTGAGTTTCTTCTTGATCCGATGAAGTGTTGATAGCAGAGTTCCTTACCAAGGATCTCAGAGTTGGTTTTTTTTTGGTGTTTCGTCTGACCACAAGTTTTTGATATATATTTGAAACTTATGATGTCCAAAATGGAAAGTTTATCAATCCTTAAAATGTGCTCTTGGCCATGCTTAAAGGTATGCGCTTTTGATTTTACGGGAAAATAACTGCATGAAAACAAAAATTTTTCCATTTGATAGTTATTGTTATGTTGCGTGTTCAGGAGAGCTGCCACGAAGTTCCCACAGTTAAAAGTCAAGCTGAGGCAAAGAAGAAAGTGTATTAGTCAGTAAACAACCTCTCCTTTCCCTTCAAGCCCAAGCTAGTTTTAAATGGATCGACGATTATCAAAACAATTGACGTGAACTGAGACCGAGACACTCGGGAAGAGGAGAGGGGTTATTTTGCTCAGAAAATGACTTTAAGTATCCCGCTTAAAGAAACAATTACAGAATTGGATACCTGTGTATTCCGTTAGAAGAGACGGCGACTGAGATTTTTATACCGAGCACAAGTAATTGTCAAACTAGAACAGAAATAAAAGTTACGGGATTGCAACTACATACGATTGAGACTCTCCAAAAACAACTTTCCTTCCTGCTACCAGGGCTCCACATTCGATAAGTGGTGCCTTTCGTGATATTAGACGACGGATTCAAAGTAATGCTATACGCATAAAACATATGATGGCTGCCCGAAACTTTATAACAAATCTTATACAATAACATTACCTATTTAAGGTTTTCTTCCATCCGAGCACACTTTCGTTCAGCCCGGCAAACGCCTGATGCAAGGTACATAATAGTCTACTTTGCCACGAACGCTCTTTTATCTTATTTCCAACCGTTAAACGTTAACTAAAATAAATACCTGCTCACCTTCGCTTTTCTTAAAACATCTAGGCTCTTGCAAGTACACCACTGCTGGAAGACAAAAATCGTATATGGAACAAATCAAAGACACAAGTATTTATAACAGTAACTACTTAAAAATGTTGTGACACAGCAGTGAAGTTGTCACCGCCTGCATCGCTCTCACGAAAAGCATCTTAACTATACTAATAACAGGAATGAACAAACCTATGATAACAATGTCTAAAATAGGAAAGTTCAATTAAATTTTAATGATTTTTTCGTGCCTGTTGGATTGCTTTTGCTTTTGCTTTTGCCAAACGTAACTTAGGGTCACGTTAGAAGTAAAAGAATTGTTGCATGGGTCTTCGGTCCTTCTATATATATTATTCTTTCTAATTGAGATATTATTCTTTTCAACACGCGTAAAAAAAGAAGGAAAAAAAGCACACGAACTTATTCTTGTTAAGTCCTGTTCGAGACTTCAATCCTTTGGGCAAATTTCCACCATTCAATTCTCACTGTGATTATACGTCTTGTTCTAACAAATTGCTTTTTACTTTTCCTGTCATTTTCTAGAATGGTTAGCGCAATGGACTAATTCCAAAACTAAAATAAGCCCTTGTATTAGCTTGTATAGGAACAAAAAACGCACACGAACTTATTTATGTTCTGTCCTATTCGAGACTTAAATTCTTTGGGCAAATTTACACCATTTAATTCTCACTGTAAATTAAACGTCATGTTCAAACAAATTGATTTTTACGTCGCCTGCCATTTTCTGGGATGGTCAGCGCAGTAGACTTGTGCCAAAACTAAAATAAGCCCCGGTATTAGCTTGGATTGTCTTGATATGAACCATGACGCATGTACGTATGTCAAGTTATTTGGGAATATATATTTTTATCTCGTCGGTTTACAGAGCCATAATGAGTTTGAAGGAGTGTTGGCAGGTTATAAAAACGAAAGAAAATTAATTGGTTATTCTTAATAGCAAGCTGTTGATGCAATAATTTAAATCCTGCACAGAATAGTAAAAAAATACATCGGGCACAGTCGGATATTTAATATGACGGAAAGAAAAAAATGCAATTCAACTTGCATATGATTTACCAGAATCTTAGTTTGAGAAATTCGCTGAATAGAGAATAATACATGCATGCTTGTAGGTTAGGAATTTCGCTGCGCTCACTCGTGAGCTGTCGAGTTGAACACTCGAAGAGAAATTCCATACCTACGCGCACCCATGTATTATTCTCTATTTAGCGAATTATTCTTGTTAAGTCCTATTCGACTCTTAAATCCTTGGGCGGAAAAAGTCGAAAAGTGCGTCGACGATAAGGCTCAACATCGCGCAGAAGTGTGTGGCACATCCGGGATATTTACGGGTGCAATGGCGCTAACTTTAAAAGAGCGAGACGACAAATGGCATCACACAATAAAGAAAAATGGCCGCAAGAGGCAAAGGTCTCCCTGCTTTTAATATTTTCACAGCTTAACTATAAAAAAAAATCGAAAGGGTTGCATATGGCTTTTAAAAAAAAGATTTTCATAGTGAAATAACAACCATGGATGACCAAACGCGTTAGATCATTACAAGAACAAAATTCTCAGTTATTGACTCTTTACCGGCAGGTGTTGACTTTCGTTCTCAGCCGCGAGAAATGCCATTACCAAAGCCACTGAATAGGTAAATTTCGGTTTTTCTTTTCGTCCTTTGGTTTTATTCCTCTTCTAAGAAATTTTAAGCGTCACTGTTTGAAAGCTATAATAATTTTTCAGTGTTTTAGTGTTTTAGGGACTGGTCATTAGTTAATGTAGAGGAACGGGGGAAGAGAGAGAGAGAGAGAGGGGAGAGATATGTTGGCGGATTAAAATTTCTGCAAATAGCAAGTAACCCCCCTTCCCTTCTTAATTCAATATTCAATATCTACGTGATGACTCCCCCCCTATCAGATCATATTTCCTCTTACATGCCTTGTAATTAATATAATTCATGTCACATACAAGCCTAAGATGATTACTTTGCATAACAACGGAATTAGCCTACTAAATTACAAAATCAGCGTATCGAGAAGATTTAGTGACCGGTTTGTCTTACATTCCTTGTAATTATTATAATTCATGTCACATACAACTATTAAGTGATTATTTTGCATGTAAACGGAACTGGCCTACTAAATTACAAAATCGGCGTATCGTGGAGACTAAGTGACCAGTTTGTCTAACATGCCTTGTAATTAATATAATTCATGTCACATACAAGCATCAGATGATTACTTTGCACAACAACGGAACAAACTTACTAAATTACAAAATCGGCGTATCGTGAAGATTTAGTGACCAGTTTGTCGTCAAATTCTTCATGTCTTTTGAACATACCAGTATCATTAAATTATTGAGAATGAAGTTTTGTTAAATATGGAAAATTATTTCTTGACTTTGGAAAATTACTAGATAGTTACAAATTATGTCTTCATGGTGAACAAAAATATATATAACAACCAAGCAGAATTTATTCTTTTCCAACGATTTTCTGGCAATTGTAACAGGACTACTTTCTTGTTGTTATATCATGTTTAATTACTTCTTGGGTTATAGAAGTTACAAGCTTTCTGTCAAATAAAGCACAATAAAACCAATGGGTCTGGACTCTTTATTATTTAAAATTTGAGATAACAACTAAATCACACCATAAATGGTTTTAAAAATATACAGTCATTAAAAAATCACTAAGATGTAGATCACTGAGTGGTGTTTAAACCACAAAAACGGTAGAATTAACACAAAATGTATAATTTCACATTACTCACAGATATTATTTACAATCTACTATTTAACTGCTTTACCCACCTTGGGCGATGGACCGCTCTAAAACTGTACCTCAACTTGCTGATGCCCCCCTCAACTTCTTTATAAAAAATTTGTCAGTCCCCTTTCTTGCCAATCTGAATAGCCTTAGCCCCCCTCCGCCCCCACTTCTTTTATCCCTACCCCTCCCCCTATCTACTACGTAAATAATGATCGGTCCTTTAGCGGCCATAATCCAAGATTATTTCAAAAAAAGACCTTGGATTGAGAATAGCGAAGGCTTTCCCATTCATTCAGCAACATGACGGAGTGGCGCGAAAGGAGGATTACACGCCAGTAGCTGATTGGCTATATCAAAGACACGTAAAACAATTATCGTATTATTTTTTTTGCGTGTGTTGTTGCGACTTTTCCCAGGGCAGAAAATCCTTGAGTAACTCTTTACATCTTAATATCAACATGCATATTCTCCATACTGTTCTCTATACATTTCTAAAGGTACTGACAAGGAGAATTTGTTTAACAATCAAGAGCTTCCTTGGTTAGCGATCATTTCCTTTATTCTCATGATCCTGATATGTGATTCCGAGGTGATGGTGTAAGGAGAATTTGATGCAAGTCACTCCAAGGGTTGATAGGGTTAACACCGTAGTCTATGTGATGAATTAGTTTATCGAACTTTATTAATCTCAAATGAATAAAGGGGTAAGTTTCTAAAGAAACTCTGATACTGTTTTTTTTTCCTGGCGTAGCTCCTTGGTAAGTTTCTTATTAATCTCAATTTGATAATTACGAAGTGTCCTTGTAGACTGAAGTACGAGGAAACACGTTAGTAGACAGAGAAAACAACCAAACAAATTTCTCGCTGTTGGCAAAGGCAAATTTGTTCAGCATTTCACATCTAGTTTTCTACGCGAAGCCTTGCAAGGAATTAATCAATTAAAATAGGCTTCGCGGTGAACGTGCGCGTAGCTAGTTATTACTATTATCATTACTATTATTATTATCATCATTATTATTATTATTATTGTTGTTGCTATTATCATTATTATCTCTTCTATCAGAGTCTTTGCTAGTGTTCTTTTTGTGCATCAGCCAGGCGCATACCATGCACCTAGGGCATCAGTCACGCACGTCAATAATCATTATTATCATTATTATTATTTCTATTCATTTAATTTTTTCTTCATCATTTTGTTTTTCATCTTGTGTCTTAGTGCATTTGTCAGTGTTCATGATAAGTATGCCAGTACGGATATTCTCATCCAGGAAGGTATGCCAAAGCTTAGTCCTTATTTTCCAATGCAGAAAACAAAACCAATTTTTACAGTCAATATATACGGTGACGCTAAAACGTGAGTGTTAAGGGTTCATATCAAACTGAAGTAAGATGCCAAGGAAATTATCGATGCAGTTCTCTTGGTCTGTTGCTTGTTTTAACAATTTTCTGCAGCCATTTTACGTGTAATGGATATAATCCGTGATGTTTTCGGCAAGGAAAGGGTTCAATTATTTGCTTAGTGTCTGGACGCAGACTGAAGGCTGAAGAGGAAAAGGGTGAGAGAGAGATTAAAGAAGCTAACGCATGCTATTGTTTTGTTTAAATTTGTTGAGTTGTTGTTGTTGTTGTCTGGGTGGTTGTTTTTACTAATGCATGACCTTTTAATTAATAATTTCGTAAAAATCCTAACTTAACTTCTTTTGCATGAAATTCCAAGAAAGCTTTGCTAGAGATAACTTAAAATATTTTCCAGCATTGAATGTTTTTTTATCTTATGATAGCAAACTACAAAGGTCAATTTTTTTTAGACATACTTTGGTAGATCTTATAATCACCATAGGCGCGACAAAAATCAGCTTTATAGGACAAGGAAAAAAAACGGTAAATCTACATGTAAGAAGCTCAGAGAAAAAAAACATGGTAAAATAGTGAATGTTGAACCTCGGCTACCTTATTTCATAATGTTTTGCTGGATTTTGATTTCACGATAGCAGAAAAAATTGCAAAAATACAATTCAAACAACTTAAAAGAAGTTCCAGAAACATGACATGACGCGAAATGTAAATGATAATACTGAGGGAAAGAGAAACAAAAAAAACCAATCGTGAAACGATCAACGCAAATTTCAAGAGACAAAAGATTTGCTGTTTCCCTGTAATTATTTTGTTAAGAAATTTGCGCAATGCTAGTTTGCAATACGAAAATCGAGCTTCTTTTCTTCAGCAATCCATACTGAAATCATCCTTGAAATGCAAGTAGTGCTTTCAGCTATCCAATTGGAAAGAGACTTGCACGCTGACTAAGATTGTAGCAAATAGTCTATAGTATCATCCCACGAAAGATTAATGATCGCATTAATTATTATCTTTGAAAACGAATCATAGTAAGCATTAGGCTGATAATAATAAACCCAAATAAAATATAATGCTATACAAAGTTTATAAGGATGAAGGTAAGAATAATTCAAGCAACTAGCCAACATTCTCCTTTGCCATTTGGCCTGTCAAATTAAAACGTATTAAGGATGAAGAGTGCTTGAGGGTCCGGATAGCTGAGGTCCCAATTTTCAACCAAAGTTGTTTTTCCAGTTTGGTCGTATCCCAGGTAATAGTTGTTGTAGAAACAATTTCTGAACATTGTATAGCTCCAGAAGTACAAAGGCTCAAAGACACTTACGTCCGAAATAATTCCTGACACTGGCACTTCCTAAATATAAACAACTTTGATTTAGAAATAATGTAACAATGTATCAGATAAATGAATAAAGGGGGTATGTTTCTAAATAGACTTTGGTGCTGCGTCGGTGGGAGAGTATAACAGGGTAGCTTAGGATAGTTTCTCTAATAGGGTTTATTACACTAAAATTACGGGAAGACGTTAGCCTTCTGAATCATACATCCTAAAGAAGTTAACTTAAATAAAGTAATCATTTTATTATTAGCAAATGATGAAATGACCAAACTGTGAAGAAAACAAAGAAATACTGGAACCAATCAGTTAGTGGGTGGTAACAATGAACGATTATAAACAAAAGAAAGAAAGAAAGAATAACGAACGGATGAATGGGTGAAAAATAGCGTTTCTTACATTCGTTTTAACTTGGTTTCCTTCGCCAGTTCCAGTCAACATATAATTCTTCTGTGCGTTAGTGTCTTCAAACATTAAGGCTACATAAAACGTTTTCTGTCTTGTTCCATCAATAGCTTCAATTCGAACTAGAGGGAAAAAGAGAGCAATTTTAAGTTCAGCAAGCAACCAGAATGCAGAGGACAGGCTGCCTTGTGCGACGTCCTAAAAGACTACAACCCTTATCACAACCCCCCTCCCCTCCCCCCTCCCCAAAGCGTCACCTCTTCAACCTAATCATACCGCACATATGGTGGGTAAGGCGTGTTTGTTTGTTTGTTAGTTTTTTTCAAGATAATCAAATTCCATTTTGTAGAAATGGAGACCTCCAGCATCACATATTCATCGATCATTCAGATCAATGTAATAGATAAGCGGATACAAATCGTGATAATAAGCCACGTGGCATGATTGACACTCTCTCCTGTCCGCATATTTTTCGCATGGGTATCAATGCTATCTTGCACCTAACACACACCGTTCGTGGTGGTGGCTGAGGGCAAAGGCTAAATCACGGTAAGGGGAGGGAAGGAATGCGAAAAAGCCAAGAAAAACACACTTGTTACATTCTGTATCATTTAGTATTTAGTTTAGGTGCGTTTAAAATTTAGCTCACTTACTTATGTTTTGAAGTAGTAAATAAAGTTTTACCTACCATCATCACTCTGGGCCATGTTAAAACTTCCATTGCAAGTAACAGAACCATCTTTGGTATCTCTCATCATAATACCATCGTTGGTCTTGCTAACTAAGCTCCACAGTCGGTAACTGGTGTTTATTTTGACTGGATGGGTCCTCAAATAGTCGATAAGCCCTCCAGAAATGCTCGCCTCAACCGGATACCAAGAGATTTGGACTTTTGAGTTTTCTTTAAGACAACATAATCCCTTCGAAGAAAGGATATGGCCATTAATGGTGCGCTTATAAGGCCTAGTGTCAAAACCCAGACAAACCCAATGTGTGACATATCAGACATGGTCTATAGTATGTAATGATGTTTATGATTTATATCTGCCTTCCACTCACTAGACGTCAGATTTCTTACTCCTTAAGCAAAAGAGTAATTCTTATTATAATGATAGTTAGAGCAATAATGGTGATGGTTATGATGACGATGATGATGATGATAATAATAATAATAATAATAATAATAATAATAATAATAATGGTGATGATGCAATGATGATGAAGATGAGAATAGATGAGAATAAAGCAAAGTATAATTCGATGAAATTCTTGCCAAAGCAATTTTCGGAAGATTTGGTGCGAATCAAACGTTTTGAAGTCAGTGCTTTGATGGTATTTCGGATTGTGATTTCACGATGACTCGGCTTTCTATTTTTGGGACGTAAAATGTTTACATGAGTAATTCTCGATTTTGAGCCCGCATTGGTAAAAAGATAAAAAAACATATAAATAGGAAAAACATCACAATAAAATTTCAATTTGACGAATTTTTGCATTAACAATTTCAATGTCGATCGAAGACCGCCTCGGTATTTTTACCTTCACTATCTCTTCCTCTTTCCATATGAATGCTCGGAGTCTCTTTTTATCATCAAGTTTATCGTTATTTTGAAGTTCCTGGTAGTCTTCCGGACCCATTTTGTCATCGCACTGTAAAAACTTGACTTGAATTGGCGTGACCTTGCTTGGTAACACATCAGAGAAGACGCGCAGAAAAAGATGGCAAAATCCCTGAACATCTCCGTCTTTTTGATAGCAAATAATTCTCTTTGTTTTGTTGTACGTCACGTTGACGTTAATCACATCGGCCATGTCTAGGTTCTGTAAAGGTCTTAAAGATAAATGAAGACAGGTAGAAATTGTGGTTTGGTGACTTCCCATAGGCATAAAATAGCAAATATGTGAACTTCTTCTTATTTTTCGGGGGATACTAACACTTTTAAATGATGGCAATAATTGCGTCATCTCCGAGTTAGAGCTGTCTTCAATAAATTTGTCTAACTGCTTCTCTGTCTCGTAAATTTCTTCCTGAGAGTCCTTTCGTTAGCTTGCATGTACAGCTTCCTTGCTCCCAATGATAACGTAATAGAGTGGGAAACATGACTTTCACCGCAGCCAAAAAAACAGATATAAATGACTAGAATTAATCACAATTGCATGCTTCTGCGTATTAGTGAATACCGTTCACAAATTGTGAGAGATGTCGAAATTCAAGTAACACGAACGTTTTTGGCCAACAGGGACGACAGAGCAGAGGACTTATGACAGTTTGTTGTGCAATGCGATTGCGGACGTAATTCACGCTAACGACCGACAATACGACGTCAAAAACTGATCTTTTGCCCTCTGTCCACTTGCGATCTAATCCTCAGTGTGAAAATATTTGTGTTGTTTATCAATGCCATGAGTTTTTTTTCCTTCCTCTTTTCTTACATATTGCGTGGTAAGTTTCAGAACAGAGAAAGTGGAAATGAAAACATTTGAAAGCCGATTTTGACAAGGGAGAAAAAACTTCGACTGATATCATAATTAGAGAAACCGTCTGAGGTTTCAACCAGGGAAATGCTACTTCAGACTATTAGTGGGACAAAAATAGATGAAAAGGCCGCAGCGCTTGAAGATTCCCAAAATACCTGTTCTTGTTCCTACTTCTCTTGGCTCTTTTAGTCCTATTTGGATTCTCAGTTGCGGATAGAGTGATGGAGACCTTCAAACTGAGATAAGGCGATTGGGATGACAGTTGTTATACGCAGGCAACACAAGTATTTATAGCAGTAACCAACATAAGCATGTTAAAACAAAGAAGTGAAATATCATCTTCGTTTTCTTGTTTAAACTAGTCGCTGATGACATAACATTAGAACGCTTGAGCCAATTTGCACCGGCGTTTACTTGCATTGCCTTTTTTTTAACATGTTTCTTTTTTTACGTATTTCAATATGTTTTCCTTATTTTGTTATTTTTTATCCTGATTAATCATTTTGTCATAACAAGTGACCTTTCACAAAACCAGGATTGAAAATGTTATTCTATACTACCATGCTTAAGGCCAACACAATGGATTTGTATCAAAATAATTACTGAAAGCTAAAATACATACCCGACATTGGCTTGAAATACCTAATTAATTTTGAGTATCGTTCTTCACTCACAGCAGAACAACATGCAGGTTGAAGGCGTCTTAAATGTGTAAGACTGTGAGACAAACAATTAAAACCAAAAAAACAGTTCCTGACTTGAAGTGTATTATATGCCATTATGGAAACATTATGAAGCTGTTACAAATATTTCATTCATTTCTTTTTTATTTGCATTCTGCAGTTAGATGAGAATGCGTGTTTGTAAAGGTAGTCGTGGATACGAAGTGATCTTTTTTAAGGAAGTTGTGTACAAAGTTGAGCTTACAGTTTCCGTGAGATGAATGGACATGGAATCCACTTTTTCTACAAGATGAACCAGGAAAATCGCATTTTATGCTCAGCATTCTGTTCAGGCAACGAATTTTCAGCTTCAGTCCTGCTCGGTAGAGGTGGTAATGCATCGTACAAAGTTGGCAACCGGCCGGGTAAACGATATACCTGCGTTATGCAAAGGGTTACGGACATTCACATACTATTGTAGGCATCGCCGTATTACCAAAAAATTCACCACCACTCATTATACATGAATGGGTTGAAGAGGCAAGCTTTCTGAATACATACATTCCAATTTTTCGCTTGGAAAAGAAAGTTTCACGCAACCGAAAGTTACAAAACTTTCCTTACTTGCCTCTGTCGTGTAATTACCTTTTCCTAGTGAATTTCAAAAATCATACCTCGCACTGTATGACTTCAGTCTTTAGTCACTAAAAATAAAACTTGCATTAGCTGTAGATAAGAGATGTTTGCGGTTAATAATGTTCAGCATTGGCTTGAGTAAAGTGTAAAAGCATAAATGAAAGAGAACTTTTTTGCCGAATACCATAAAAGTTTGAACCCACCACTGAAAATCAATTTTTGAATTAGTAGCCTCGTATGAACTGAAAACGGAAGTCACACTTGAAATAGACAACATGTCATTGCCTGTTCGCTTTTTACCGCAGTCGGCTCAGTTATCTTCATCTTGAAGAATATGAGTCTAGGCTTGTCATCATCGAACAGTTTCCAGTTCTTACTAGTGTCAACGCAAAGAACATTGTCAGTAAAATGATAACTACTGGTTTGTTAGCTTCGCCATTCCAATCTGTAACTGTGCATCCCCAAATGATAGACACTGACGCAAGATCGTGATCGTTCTCTACAGTTCAATTAGCTGAAAAGCCTAGGTCATCCTACTAATCAGTTTAATAAGGATTGGCTTAATTTACTTAGTCAGTTACCCATAAAACGATTTTATTACCTTTTATTGGCCTGAATGCACGCATGTTTATACCATCGGTTCACACCATTAACGCTTTGTGGCGATAATTAAAGAAAAAGCTTTGAAGCACTGTTTGAAATACCAGCCCCAATCCTTTGAAATTTCTATCAGAAATAACGCATAACATGAAATTTTATTCATCTTATGCCTAAGGGAAAAAGAAGTCAACAAACCACATCCCTAACTGTCCTCATCTATCTTTATGACCTCCTCAGAACCTAGACATGGGCGATATAATTAACGTCAACGTGACGTACAAAAAAACAAAGAGAGATATTTCCTATAACAAAGACGAAGATTTAAGGGACTTTGCCGTCTTTTTCTGAAAGTCTTCTCCGATGTGTTATTAGGCCAGGTAACGCTAATACAAGTCAAGTTTCTACAGTGCGATGACAAAATGGGTCCGGAAGACTACCAGGAACTTCAAAATAGCGATAAACTTGATGGTAAGAAGAAACTCCTAGCATTCATATGGAAAGAGGAAGAGATAATGAAGGTAAAAATACCGAGACGGTCTCTTCAGCTGTCAAGTGTTTCGATCGACAGTAAAAATTGTTAATATGGAAATTTGTTGACTTGAAATTCTACTCTTATGTTTTTCGTATATATTTGTTTTTTTTTCTCTTTATCACTACGGGATCAAAATCGAGAATTACTCATGTAAACATTTTAAGTCCCAAAAATAGAATGCCGAGTCATCGTGAAATCACGATCCGGTAGTGATGACTGACGTTTCGATAACCTGAGCGGAAGTCATCATCAGAGTCAAGTGAAAGTTTATTGTCAGTCGAATGTACTTAGTCCGGTTTGTGTACACCGATTGGTCAGTTTTGCCGTGATGTTATTGGCTGCAAGACTCAAGTGGCGTAGGTCAGTCGTGATTGGTCGGTTTGGATCCATTAGTGAAGTTAGGTCGTTCTGTTCGGTTCGTTTGTAATGTTAATGTCGTGGATGAGTCGTTTGTATGGTGCCGGTAGTAGTTGACACCTGTTGATGGGAGTCTGTTCCAAGTTAGTAAACCAGCTTTCCAGGGTCAGTCGTTGAAAGTAGTTGGTGCTGTAAGTTAGGCATTGCGCAGAGTCCTAGTCAATAGTGTGGTTCGTAAGTCGGTGATGTTGAGCAATGTGATTGTTGACATCGCCTTTCCTCGTCGCTCGTTTGTGTTCAGTCAGTCTAGTTGCGAGGTTTCTGCCAGTCTCACCGATATAGGAGGCGTGGCAGTCGGAGCAATTGATCTTATATACTGCTCCTTGTCTGTTCCTCGGTTCGTCTCTGTCTTTGATGTTAGTCATTAACTGACGTAGTGTGACAATAGGTTTGTGAGCGACGCGGATATTGAATGGTTGTAGGATGCGTGAGATGTTCTCAGATATGCCCTTTATATATGGTATAGTAGCTGTGGTCGTAGGAGTTGCCTTGTCGTTAGCTTCGGTAGTAGTAGTAGGTCTGTGAGTGTTACGTTGGATGAAGTTGTAATTGTTCTTTGAAAAACACGGTTAAGGTACTTGTTCTCGTCGGATAAGCTGTCTGTCGTATTACATACTAATTGCGCCCGTCGGGTAAGAGTCCTGATAGTAGTGGCTTTGTGTGATGTCGGGTTGTAGGATGACTCGTCCAGTAATCTGTCGGTATGTGTCGGTCTCCTGTAAACTGTTGTCCGTAGTGAATTGTCGTCACGGCTTACCAAGCAGTCTAGAAAAGGTAGTTTACCATTACCATCACTGTTGTTACCTTTACTATCATCATAATAAGAATTACTCTTGTGCTTAGGGTGTAAGAAATCTGACGTCTAGTGAGTGGAAGGCAGATATACATAATAAAAATGATTACATGCCATGTCTAATATGTCACACATTGGGTTTGTCTGGGTTTTGACACTAGGCCTTATAAGCGCACCATTATCAGCGCACCATTTATCTGATACATTGTTTCCTCGTACTTCAGTCTACAAGAAATCTAAGTAATTATCACCGTGAGATTAATAAAGTTAGAAAAACTCATTCATTTTATAAACGGCTACGGTGTTAATCCTAGAAACACTTGGAGTGGCTTGCATCAAATTCTCCTCACTCTATCAAGCCAGAATCACACATTAGGGTCATGAGAATTAAGGAACTGATCACCAACTAAAGAAAAAAAATACATGTTGATATTAAGATGTAAAGATTTATACAAGGATTTCCTGCCCTGGGAAAAGCCAGAACAACACACGCGAAAAAGATAATACGATAATTTTTTACGTGTCTTTGATATAGCCAATCAGCTGCTGGCATGTGACTGCTGACACGACTTTCAAATCGGGTGATGGCAGACATCGCGAGAGTCCTGGATCGAGTTGCATGAAAACGAGGCCAGAAAGGCCACACTATCGCGTCCCTCTTCGTTTGTTATGGCGAGCACTTCGAATATTTCAAAATGCGAAATTTCTTACGGAAAACGATATACCTGGCGCTTCTCTTCTCAGAAGAAAACCTGAGGAGTTAAAAACCTCAAAGATTAAATTTTGGCTTAAATGTTGTCGAGACGCGGTGAAGCAAGTGCATGACTACATACGAAACTTAGTTTCTGGGCCGAACAAGGGCAGAAACTGCTTTCTTATAACCTTGAATATTTTATTAAGTTCGCGTAAGCAAAGCTTTTCAATTGAAATTGTCTGGCAAATAACAACAATGATTGTGAAGTCTTGTGAACAGCTACATCTGGTTGACCCTGTCATCCACAGTTTTCCTGCAAAAGCTATTTTGCTATGACATCTCTGTTTTTTATCAACGGAATTGATAATACCATGCTTCTACATTCAAATATTCTTAATTGTCGTGAATTTACTTGTTGACTGGCAATTAATACCTTAGATGAATAAATTCTTATTGTTTTGTAGCTTTAATTTGTTGTGGGTTGAAATTTTTCCAACCAGTTTGATTTTTAATCTCCTTTGTTTCAAAGTATGCTAAAGAATACAAAAGGAAAATTAAAACCAAACTGGTTTAAAAATTTTGCACCAAAGATAATTTAAATACAACATAGACAACATGGTATTTACAGACAGAAAAGAAGTCACTCAATTATGATGTAAACCTTACAATAAATAGTCAGAACAGAGGGGAAAATGTTGCCTTTATCTGAATGACTAATTTGTAGCCCCTTACAATCTAGGGAGAGAAGAGATTTGTAGACAATTTATGGGTTAAAGAATTCATTCATGCCTCACATGAATGTGATATTTTGATATTATGTTAGGTTGTGCATTACAACAGAATGCACACACTGCCCACATGTGGTTTTCAACTATTCCCATTTGATGTAGTGGAACAACTCTGTCCCAGATGTGAAAATTCTTAATCCTGTTAAAGGCAGGTTCAACATGTATCCGTAAAATTGCAATTTCCTGTGTTTTTACCACATCTTCTACAGCTATCTGAGAAGATGCTCCAAGAAAGGGTAGCAAATTTAAACTGACTCCCAAAGGCAACAAATCCTAAACTATGAATCCCTTATCTGCCATAATGGAGTCTTTGTCATCAAATGGTAGATTTAAGAATCCACTCCATCTCACAATTTCCCGATCAGAGATAGAACCTGTATACAGTTGACTTCTGAATGTCACTGCTCCACTGGGAGAAATACCAACGAAACCTTTCAAAGTTGTGTGATTTTTGTAAGCTCTGAAAAGTTGTCAATTCAACTGCAAGCTGTTTGGCATTTGACATCTAACCTCAGTACAGTCAATTATGACTCAAGTAGATTTGTACCTTCCCTTAAAAGATTTGGGCATTGTATCAATTACTTTTCTGGTGGGCCAAATGTTTACTTGTCCAAACTTAAAGGACACAAAATTGACCCATGTGACAAATATTCTACTTACTGTGGATGCTGATACATTAAATAATTGAGCTAGATAGTCCTCTGGGAATCCTTGCCTTAGTCTACACATGACTATAAAAAATTCATCAAGGGGCCTTAAAGATCTAGCTCTCCCCTTTTTTGTTAGTAGTCTGCTTTCACTGTAATCAGACTCAGTGATGTTGTCAGTTTTTGACCGCCAGTAGGAAATGATAAAGATACTCAAAAACAGCCATTAAAGTCTCCCAGCTTTGAAATCCAGTATATAAAGCAGTATTGGAATCTTTTGACTTACAGTTTTCAAAGTTAAACAATCTTTTATTGAGAGCATCACGTTGCCGCTGGGTATCTTGCATTTGGCGCTTAAGTTCCTAAATTTCCTGTTCGAGTTTATGAATCTTCTCGTTATTGTTGTCAATAATTTCTCTCAAGTAGGCCTCCTGGTCGGTAAAATCAGTCTGTGTTTCGTCTTCGACTTTTAAGCTACAATCTGGTAGATCTAGAACCATTTCGTTTGATAATTCGTTTGACGATTCATTTGATAATTCTTCAAGAACAACAGCTGGGGTAGACAATTTTCGTGATGCACTTTTCGAAGCTGTCAGCTCGAAGTTTCTTTCCGCCGGCTCCTTTCCCTTGCGTGGCGATGTTCGAATCCATGAAAACACAGAAGGGACAACTCCATCTCTTAATTCATTTTTGACTGCGTGACATTTCTAATATAACCTTTCCTGAAATGCTGGGAGCATATCTTTGTATTTTCAGTTACCTTGAAGTGCTTTCCTTCGTCTCTTCTTATCGCGTAGAGGCATTTCTTCTTAACGGGTTCTCGGTCGGAAATTAAAAATAAGACTCTTTTGTCCCATCGTCTATCCGGTAGCATTTCTTCGTACATTCTGGAACACAACAATGAGTCGGCATTTCCTCTTCTTGTAAATAATTCGACCGAATCGAGTCAAAACAGATCACCTATTCAATCCTAGTAGACCTTTTGTTTACAGTGATGTCCTGAAGTGTGGCCTTTCTGACCTCGGTTTTATGTTTAGGAGTGTTTGTCAGTAAAAATCAAACATATCACGGCAAGGGTGGAAAATTCGATTTCTTTCTTATTTTAATGTTAGATAGGTTAGACTATAACTAAAATCACCGGATACTTTTTTCGGCAAAATATCTTTTTATTTCAGAGAAAAATACAAATAACGAAGTTCCGTTAAAATCGTCATTTTTAGCAGCAAATTATTGCACTAGTTTGAGAGCTTCGCGTGCAAAAACGAATCACTTTCTCGTCTTTTAAACACTCAAATCTTCTTTTTCGATCTCATAAGACCTCACAAAATGATTTTTGTAAACATTGCGCTCTTCTTTGCCCTTAAAATAATTTAATTTCGAAAGCATGCATTTCTCTTCAGTAAAAATACTTCGTGAATAAAATTAATTTTCACCATGTGCTAAACCTTCAAATGGATTAAGCTTTTGGTGATTGAATTTCGAAAAGATGTTCTCAATATTACTGTAAAAATTTGTTTGGGCAAATGATTGAAAGCGATACAAAAGCTTTTCAAAGTCCGTTAAAATGCAGTTCTTTGACCTTTTGCGGTCAACATTCCAGTCGCGAGTCACACATATTTTAATATGTTTCAACCCATATGAGGCCGAAAAATGTACATAGAAAGATATTTCCAAATGCTCTGACCTCATTTGCCGCAGAAGACCGATCCAGAGACCATTTTAGTGTGATTCTCTTGTCGTTCGTCGTATTCTGTCATCATCATTTAACCATCAACCCTGTCGAACACCATCTTGGGTAAGTACTAAAACAAGGAACGACCTAAAACCACCTGAAACCACCTAAAACCACCTAAAACCACCTAAAACCACCTACAACCATCTACAACCACCTCAAAAGTTTCAACAACCACCTACAACCACCTCAAAAACATCTACAACCACTCGCAAACTATCTAAAACCATCTAAAACAAGGCATGTCTAAAATAAGGCGAAACGACAACATGTCACGTACACGAAATACGAGAATCGAACGAAACCTCTACCTCCCACTGAAATCTTACTCTCCCTGGTCCCATGTATAATCAACCATCTCACGAAATGAAATGCGATAGCATGCTAATTATTGTATATTCCCTCAGCAAAAGACTTAAAGAACTTTACGAAATGAACTAACAAGTTACAAAAAATAATAAATAGGAAATAATACATTGGCGCGCGTAGATATGGAATTAATCTTCGAGTGTTTAACTCGATAGCTCACGAGTGAGCGCAGTGAACGAGTGAGATGTCGAGTTGAACACGAGAAGAGAAATTCCATATCTACAAGCAACCATGTATTATTTTGTTTATCATGTAAACACAATAGCCCTTTTCTGGGAAGAAAATCCGACCTCATTAATGAATGCAAATAAATGAATCGACAATCCTTGAACAACAATCGTAGAGTGCGTTGGCGCTGACTCTTAAGATGGAAAATGCTTTGAATCATGATTACAAAAACTTCCATATATACGCGCGCCTATGTATGATTCCCAATTCAACGGTTCAGTTGACTGCGAGTATTCCTCAGTTTACAATGCACTAAAAAATTACATCTGACAGTCTCATTCAATGTTAAACTGAGTTGACTACAAACATGTACGCCCTTTGAGTATTTGGGTTGTCACGCAATACCGGTGACAAAGGAACTTTAGGGGGTAGGTGAAGGGCAAAACTCCATATAATTAGGCACTATCAGAATTGAATTCTTGGAACCTACAAAATATTTTATTCTGTAAACATTTTTGTAATAGTGTCATCTTTGTCTGGTGACAAACAGTAAAATATATTTATTTATTGCAGGGAATAATTCTTGTTTTTTTGGCGCTCTGTGCCTGTCGTACTTATTAGGGGTGTTTTTCTTTCGTCTAAAATTGCAAGGAATACCCTAATAGCATGAAAGAGAACCTTTTGTACATTTTTACAACACCATGCTACAAAACGCAGTGGTGGGGATGTGTGGCTTATGTGAGGCTGGGGTGCTATGCTCCATGGCCAATGGGTGAGGCTTGCATAAGGGAGTGGTATTATTAACCGCTGTTAACAGACCCAACTACCGTTTAAAACCATAAACTACAGAGGGGCCGACATATGTGCGCTCGGCACAAAATAAGGTCGATCTCATCTTCAGGACCGGTAAATTTGAAAGCCGACTGATAACTGGCGATATTCTTGGTGCATGAAAGTAAAGGAACAATTTCCGTTTCACGCATTCGATCTCTAATGTTGTAACCACAAACTCCGCCAATAAGCAACTTAAACGAACAACAACCTTCCATTTTTTTTATGTAATAAAGTTGACTGTATAAGTTAGTGTATTTGTGAAAAACAAAGTCCGAAGCCCCGCCTCTAAGCGAACAATAGGTATCGTGTAATTACCATAAACCAGGTTTTGTTTACTTAGGCTTACTATATTTAGCAGGTACTAAATTTAGCTTTCCAACGAGTATTAGCCAAAGGCCCGATCTCCGCGACTTACATGTAAGAGATTTCGATGTTCACAACAACAAAAAAGCTTAGCAGCAGAGTGACGTCTTTTTTACTTTCCCCTCCCCCTACCCCCTAAAAAATAACTTTTCATTGTATCATTTGCATTGCGTGACGACTCTCCGTAAACAAAACTACGTTGACTGCAACATATGTGTAGTGCCACTTTTAAAAGCATCGATCAGATCTACTGCACCCCAAACCGAGCAACACTCACAGTCCACTGAACCGCTGGATAAGATGCCACAGTGCAGAAAGATGTCAAACGTTTTACAACGAAGGTTGGTGACAGTTTGCAGATTGACAGGCAGTTTCATCGGATGTTATAAATACGACGAGCGACAAGATAACCAAAGTAAAATTGTCTTTGGATCTTTCTTCTGCGGCAAATGAGGTTAGAGCATTTGGAAATGTGTACCCATGTACATTTTCCGGCCTCATATGGGTTGAATCATATTAAAGTAGATGTGTGACTCGCAACTGGAATGTTGACCGCGAAAGGTCAAATAACTGCATTTTAACGGACTTTGAAAAGCTTTCGTATCGCTCTCAATCATTTGTCCAAAGAAATTTTTATAGTAATATTGAGAACATCTTTTCGTAATTCTACCGCCCAAAGCTTAATCCATTTAAAGGTTTAGCACATGCTTAAAATTAACTTTACTCACAAAGTACTTTTAGTGAAGAGAAATGTATACTTTCGAAATTAAACTATTTTACACGCAAAGAGGAACGCAGTGTTTACAAAAATCGTTTTGTGAGGTCTTATGAGGTTGAAAAAGAAGATTTGAGTGTTAAAAAGACGAGATTGTGATTCGTTTTTGAATGCGAAGCCCTCAAACTTGTGCAATAATTTGCTGCTAAAAATGACGATTTTAACGGAATTTTTTTAGTGATTTTAGTTATAGTTTAGCCTATCTAATATTAAAATAAGAGAGAAATCGAATTTTTCACCCTTGCCGCGAAATTTAGAATTTGTCTGATTTTTACAGACAAGCGCTATTAAGTAATTACCAATCTCGCGCTCCGCGGCCATTATGAAAGTCGTGTATGTTGCTTAATGAATGGCAAAGTCTTCGCTATTCTCAATTGGAGGTGGTTTTTGAAATAATCTTGGATTATGACTGCTAAAGGCCGGTTATTATTTTTGTAGTAGATGGGGGAGGGGTAGGGATAAAGGAAGTGGGGGGGGGGGTTAAGGCTATTTCAGATTGGCAAGAAAAGAAACTGACAAATTTTTATAAAGAAGTTGAGAGGGGCATTAGCAAGTTGAGGTACAGTTTGAGAGTGGTCCATCGCCCAAGGTGGGTAAAACAGTTAAATAGTAGATTGTAAATAATAACTCTGAAACAGTAATGTGAAATTGTACAACTTTGTGTCAATTCTACCGTTTTTTTGGTTTAAACACCACTCAGTTTTGTACAACTTAGTGATTTTTAATGACTGTAGATATCTGAAAATCATTTATGGTGTGATTTAATTGTTAACTCAAATTTTAGTTATTAAAGAATTCAGACCCACTGGTTTTGATGAGTTTTCTTCGGCAGAAGGCTTGTAACCTCAATAACCCAAGAAGTAATTAAACATGATATAACAAGAAGAGAGAAGTACTGATACAACTGTCGGAAAATCATTGGAAAATTATAATTTTACTTGGTTATTATATATATTCGTTCACCATAGAGGCATAATTTGTAACTATCTGACAATTTTCCAAAGTCAAGAAATAATTTCCTATATTTAAGAAAATATCGCTCTCGGTAATTTCATAATACTGGTATGATCAAAAGATATCAAGAATTTGGCGACAAACTGGTCACCTAATCTACACGATATTCCGAGTTTTTAATTTAGTAGGTGAGTTCGCTATTATGCAAAGTAATCATCTTATGGTTGAATGTGACATGAATTATAATAATTACAAGGCATGTAAGATAAACTGGTCACTAAATATTCACGATACGCCGAATTTTTTAAAGTTAATTGATTAATTCCGTTGTTACGCAAAATCATCTTATGTTTGTATGTGAAATGAATTATAAAAGTTACGAATTATAAAAGCATGTAAAAAGAGATATGAGGTGACGGGGGGGGGGGATATTGAATAAAGAGGGGAAGGGGAGTCACTTGCTATTTACAGAAATCTTGATCTTGCTAAAATATCCCCCCCCCCCTCTTCCCCGTTCCTCTACGTAACTAATGACCGGTCCCTAAAACACTGAAAAATTCTTATAGCCTATAGACAGTGACGCTAAAAATTTCCTAGAAGACAAAGAAAACGAGTGAGCGCAGCGAACGAGTAAGATGTCGAGTTGAATACGAGAAGAGGATTTCCATATCTACAGGCACGCATGTATTATTCTCTATTTAGCGAAGTTTTCAAGCTGAGATTATGGTAAATTATGTGCAAGTTGTATTGCAATATTTTAATTTCCGTCATATTATATATCCGACTGTGCCCTATATATTTTTCCTGTTCTGTGCGGGATTTAAATGATTGTATGCAATTCATTGCATCAACAGCTTTCTGTTAAGAATAATCAATTATTTTTCTTTCTTTTTTTTTATAACCTGCCAACACTCTTTCAAATTCATTGTGAAAAAAATGCATTTATATCGATGCATGTTTCGAAGAAAAACGTCCCTTTACGTGAGCTCTGCCCGAAAAAGATGTCCCAACGTGAAGAAAATGCTAGAATAAACACAACAGATGATTTGGAACAATTTGGCCACAAACTGTGGCAGTTTTAATTAAATCAATTATAACTAAGTGATAACAAAGAGCGGAATATCTGAACTTATCAATCGATAATGTCAACGTGGGGCGACAAAAAACGCCACAAGCCACAAACTGTGGCTGAAGCCCCACAAAAACGAACAGACACGACAAATACAAATGAAAGAAAGAATAAAAATGCAAAGTTCACGTAATGGAGGGAAAGCAACTCTACACAAAAATCCATGAAGACTGCAGCCCATGTCTGAACAGTCCCATGTGACTAAAATCAAAGAGAGAATGCAATCCAAAAAACGGCAGCCACTTGTCTGAACCCCCTGGAAAGCATGCAACTCATCGAGATAAGTAACATGAATGACCTGAAGTTATAAAGAAGAAGTGGGCAAAAAACACTAAACCATTTAATGTAACGGCAGAAAGCCTGCAAAAAAGCAGCCACTTGAAAAACCGGCATGACAACAACTTCGCAGCCCTTGACTGAACGAAGTGGCGCCCAATACTGTAATGGTCTATCAATTAGTAGAAAGAATTTCGGAACGTAAATAAACTTTAAATGCATCCGATTTCCAGCGGCCAAGCGCACGAATTTGGGCATCAGAAAAACCATTGTCGGCAGCATGACAAGCGCCACCAATGCGAAAACTATGGCTTTTATAGCGGCTAAGATCGAGACCACAGTACGTTAAACACCTCTGAAGTTCTGTGTTGAATTGATGTAAAGACACAGGCGAAAAATCAGCGTTACAGAAAAGTGGACCTGACCGATCGCCGCGAAGCCTAGTATACTGCAAGAGAGCAGTAACTGGGCAGAGAGAAGGAACGTCTTCTCGAGCAAGCAAAATGTTAAATGGCCTTTTGGAAGGGTTGTGTTTGTATTCGGAAATGCTAATTTTCGCAATATGGGGCAGGCCGTGACAAGTCAAAAAGGTCAAGCTGTGATATTGAACAACTGATGAGCCCAAATGCGTGCTCTTGACGGCAAGTTCGCCAATGCGAAATAGACCGTAGAAAGCGACTAAAAATGTTGTCCCAAAAAGAGAACGTTACCATGCCGAAGAGTTGGTGAAATCCAGAGACCGAACAAGTTGATGTAACACAGGCTTCGTCACGGGAAGACGAACGTCTGCAGCTCGTTGCCGACTTAATGCTGTCAACAACTTTTGAATTAAGAAAGATTTGGTGGGGTCACGTAAGCCCTTTAATTTGTGTACATAAGAAATAGCCGAAAGGTAGGAGTTTATTGTAGAGTATGCCATCGACGGCACTTGAGTGGATTTCTATCAACCATCTCGGAGCTCAGTCCGTTTTACACATTTTAGACGATTTTCTCTTCATTGCGCCGACCAAAGCCCAATGCACACGCGACTTGTCGAATTTTGTTTCTTTGTGCGAATATATTGGCGTTCCTCTCGCCCCCGAGAAAACAGTAGGTCCGGATTCAGTTTTGCAGTTTGCAGGAATAATTTTTAGACTCCGTTCGCATGGAGGCGCGACTTCCAGACGATAAGCTGGCTAAATGTCGCCAGTTATTGACTGTTTTTCTCGCTCGTAGATCTGTTTGCTTCAAAGAGCTTCAATCACTCATAGGCTTACTCAATTTCACGTGTCTCGTCGTCGTACCCGGTCGGGCGTTTTTGCGTCGCTTAATCGATCTTACGAAAGGCGTTCGCAAGCCCTATCATCATATTCGTCTTTCAAAAGGCGCAAAGCTGGACATCGCGCTTTGGCTTAGATTTTTAACAGATTTTAATGGCAAATCGTTTTTTCTTGATGACGCCTGGGAGACATCAGACACGCTTAAACTTTATACCGACTCAGCTGGTTCCATCGGGTTTGGAGCTGTGTTTGGCAATCGTTGGTTGCATGGTCTTTGGCCGGCCTCTTGGAAGACCTACAAAATCGCTGTATTAGAGCTTTTTCCAATCGTCATTGCAATTCACATTTGGGGTTCGTTGATGGTTGATAAGTGTGTATTGTTTTTTAGTGACAACGCCGCCGTTGTTGACATTATTAATAAGCAGACATCTAAGGACGCATCTATTATGGTTCTCCTCAGGGATTTAGTTTTAAGCTGCCTTACGCACAATATTCTGTTTCAAGCTCGCCATATTCCGGGGTTGATCAATTCTCGTGCCGACTATCTTTCACGTTTCCAGGTTGTGAAGTTCAAAGAATTATCACCGGAAGCAGACGACTTCCCCACTCCAGTTCCCGAGATTTCTTGAGCACTTGACGTTCGAATGGCGAGGGATAGAAGGGCGAATCAAGGAATTTCTCCTGGTTTTAACATAGCAAACTCCGCCCATTGGTTACTGTTCGTACCTGGTGCAAACCTCCCAACGGGTTATCATATAAACATGCCCCGACATAAAAAACATTATGTCTAGACATAATGTTTGTCTATATTCCCAAATAACGTGCATATATACATGCGCTATGGCTCATATCAAGACAACCAAGCTAATACCGGGCCTTAGTTTGGTTTTGGCATTAGTCCATTGCGCAAACCATTCTGGAAAATGGCAGGAAACGTAAAAAGCAATTTTTTTTAGAACAAAACGTTTATTTTACAGAGAAAATTAAATGGGGGAAATTTGCCCAAAGGATTAAAGTCTCGTACAGGACTTAACTAGAATAAGTTCGCGTGCGTTGTTTGTTCCTATCCAAGCTAATACTGAGGCTTATCTTAGTTTTGGCATTAGTCCATTACGCTAACCATTCTAGAAAATGGCAGGAAACGTATAGGTAATTTGTTAGAACAAAACGTTTAATCTACAGTGAGAATCAAATGGTGGAAATTTGCCCAATGGATTTAAGTCTCGAACAGGACTTAACAAGAATAAGTTAGTGTGCATTTTTTTCCGGCTTTCTTTACGCGTGTTGAATAGAATAATCTCTTAATTCGAGAGAATAATGTGTTTAAAAGGACTGAAGACTCACGCAACAATTCTTTTACTTCAAACGTGGCCCTAAGTTACGTTTGGCAAAAGCAAAAGCAATCCAACAGGCACGAAATATTAATTCAAAGTTGACTGGACTTTTCCTATTTTAGACATTGTTATGATAGCTTTGTTTATTCCTGTTATTAGCACAGTTAAGATGCTTTTTGTGAGAGCGACGCAAGCGATGACAACTTCACTGCTGTGTCAGAACATGTGGAGGTACTTACTGTTATAAATACTTGTGTCTTTGATTCCTTCCATAAACAGTTTTTGTCTTCTAGCAGTGGTGTATTTGCAAGAGCTTAGAAGTTTTGGGCAAAGCGAAGGTGAGAGGCATTGCCTTTAGTTAATCTTTAAGGAACAGTTTTCCACAACATTAAGAATCCTTTACAATTCAGAGAATTGCTTTTGAGGTTAAAGCCAAAGAAAACTCTGCTTTTTTTGATAGAGCTAGAGCGTAAAACTCAAAAGGAAAAGGCAAAAATTAGGACGGTCAGATTGTGAGTAGACTGGATTAACAGACAATTATGTGTCTCCGTTTCACCCTCGTAGACATATGCTTACCTTTTCTCGAAAAATCCTCCTCTGGTGATGGATATTTCCGTTTCTAACATAGGGTCAACAAGCATTCAGTTTCCGTTGTAGCCGCCAGCCTCACCATAAACTTATTTCCTCACACAATTTCAATATCACAGTATCAAACAGACGGGTTGTGAGGTAAATTGCGTACACTAGACAAGCTGGCATGGCATAGGATTTGATATAACATCACGTTTTTAGCTAACAGAATCACTATAAGGAAATAATGGCAGAAAGTCTGGACAATATTTAGTTCTTAGCAGATAAAGATTTAGAAACCATGTCACGCAACACGTTAACAGTTTAGAATCATTTGGAACAATTTATAATAAATGTCGGCAGGGTTCATTAAGAAAGAGCTGAATGCATTTATCTGAATAGGTAATTAATTGACTGAAATGAGAGGCATAGTATTCATACGAGGTCAGTTTATAATAAAATGCAACAAAAATTTTAGTTTCTTATCGCTATAAGAAAAGAGCTGGAGATAAAAGAATTTTTATGCACAAAAATGTAGGTACAGTTCAAAACTCGTACTCGTATCGAAACAGTTTCAATTACTGGACCATCTGCTGAAAGAAAAAAACATCAACGACAACATCACTTGTGATGACCATAGGAACCATGCAGTTTGACCCTGTAAAAGTACAATATTTGATCTACTATATGAGAAATGAAGACACCATGTAACAGAATTACCGTCATGATGCACTGATATATCCTCCTGAATTTTCCAAATTCTAGAGATGGCCGATCAGATTGATATCCATGTGACCTACAAGGATTCAAAGCACATCATTTCCTGTCCAAAAGGAGAAGTTGTCGAGGACTTTGCCATTCGTTTTCTTGAAGCCTTCGCCGATATGTTACCGCGCGAGGTGGAGCCAAGTGATGTCAAGTTTCAGCTTCACGTTGAAAAATTTGATGACTATGTGGATTTGCAGAGCAACGAACTGCTTAAAGATGGCAGTAAACTTCGAGTTCGAATTCCAGAGAGAGGACAGGTTGAAGAAGCAATTTCTATTAAGTAATTAACTTAAAGTAGCTTATTTTTGAGTAATGATAAGTCTCTCATGCGCGTGTGTTACACAAGTAATACCTCGATGTGAGTATTCGGCAAAGTATAAACAAATTTGAATTTTGGCACTCTACAGATTAGGTCTATAAACTGCAAGGAAAGTTACATTGTAACAACGATCCGTGAAATCAGTGAGTGTTGCGTATCTTGCGGAACCAACGCTCGATAAAGAATGAAAGAAAAAATTAAAACCAAATGGAAAAGCAATCTGATATTTTACTCCATGCTCTGTTGCTGCCGGGTAAAACTAAAGTCTTCTTCTATAGTAAAGTGCTGGAGAAATAATCTGCGCACTCATGTTTTTTATTTATTTATTTATATATACATTTTCTTTTTTTCCGCTTCCGATGAGATTGTAAGTGATCGAGTGAGAGGTTCAGAATACCCAGAAATAAACGCCTCAAACGCCAAACGCTAATTTGCCTCAAATAAAACAATCCACGAGTGTTAGTGGTATCTACAAAATTTCACCCATCAATTTTTATGTGATTTTTTTCAGTCACCTATTAAGCCTCATCCCATCCAGCCGAACACCATTTATCGACTGTGGAGCCTCGTTAGTAGAAAGAATGAGGGTGTTGTAATGAGGAATTCAAGCACTAACATGGTGACTTGCAGTGGAACGTTTAGCCCCTGTGGTGACAGTACGTATATCATTCAGTTAATTTAAAGAATAACGTGGGCTGTATGCAATTTCTAACCAAATGTCATGTATAAATGAAAGCATTGACACAAATGTCAATGTATGTGTTTTTACAGTTCCTACCCATTCCCCTCATCTCATCATGACCGTCTTCCCTCTCAGTCTCATTAACACTTCTATTGCGCAGCTCATGTTAACCTTCAGGCAGAAACAACCTTCATCAACTGACCTCAATAGTAATAGCAGATGGAAACAAGAGGCGTTTTCCATAACAAAGCAGCGAGAAGAAATTACCCTAGCATACTAACATTTATCAAAATAAGGATCAATTTTTGTTATCTCTCAAAATGCCAAATGACGCCTCCCATCCAACAGTCCAAAATTTAAGGTGGATGAAAAATTCACCAAATTTTGTAACCTAAACAAACAGTCTACTAATTAAGTAATATAAGCAATTTTATTTGAACCTCCGAATATGAGTGATATCGCAGCGCCCAGGGAACGTTGATAAAATTACCAGAAATTGCCAAAACTTTTGTGAGTCAGGTAACTGGTATGACTTCAGCTGGTTGATTGAGGAACTCGTTTAACATGACCGGCTTCCTGGACCCTTATCATAGGAATTGAAATATCATCTAACACTACATCTACTCTATGTCCCTTTTAGCTCTTATGGAGACCATTGATAAAACAAATGGTCAGACGGCTTCATTTGCCCTGCAATTCAAAGATGGAGCAAACAAAGAGTTAACACTGACCGGAGATGGTAAAGGAAAGCCTGTCGAAGCCAAGGTAACTAATGGCATGATTCTGTCTTATCACCTCTCTCTACTTCATTCGCCATTTCCTTTACCTTTTTTATCTAATAATTAATACACATAGAATCGTTCTCATTCAATAGCTTTCAAATTTTTAATAATCAATTTATTCTTTTTATTGTTCTATTTATATATTTTCTCCAGGGTCCTTTTAAAATAACTGATTTCTCCAACTGAAATGTATTTTTTCCTCCAAAACGCTAAGTGCTAGGGAAAGCTTGTCTTTCTAGCTCGAAGGTGACTTAAAGCAATCTTCGATTGAGTGCCGTAATTAAAACAAAAACGAGCTGAAAGCCGGGAATCGCAACGGAAGGACCAAATCGTAATGATTTTAGTTTTGCATCTGTTGGTTCAAAGAGTGGCGCAAGTTTTTTTGGACCAATCACAGAGCGAAAGCAAACCTTGAGCAATTCCGGATTACTTTTGACACTCAATAGAAAATTGTCCAAGAAAGGGACTTCAATAAATCGCCTGAAAATGGCAATTGTTTCCAAGGTTGTGGCTAAGAAAATTGGCAAGGGAAAAGAGCGTTATTTAACCATGAGAAAAAGTAATTCAAAGCTTTTAATTCAAAACTATTTTCAATTAAGGTAATAGCAGGTGCAGAAGAATCCATCTTTCGACACTCAATAAAAAATTGTTCATTAAAGGGACTACAATAAATCACCTGAAAAATGTCAATTGTGTCCAAGGTTGTAGCTAAGAAAAGTAGCAAGGGAAAAGAGCGTTATTTAGCCTCGAGAAAAAAAGAAAAAAATATTGTTAATTCAAAGCTATTTTTGATTAAGGTACCACCACCTCCAGGGGGAAATCAAGATAGATCCATCTTTGAGCCTGAATACTTCTGGAGCTATACGATGTTCAAACAACGTAACAGTTACTACTACCTGGGATGTGATGCTTCTGGAACTCTGACTTTGGTTGAAAATTGGAATCTTGAGTATCCGAATCCTCAAGCTCTTTTTATTGCTAACAAACCTAATAAGTCCACCTGAGATGGCCAAAGATTCATTGACTTTTGCTTATTAATACTTTGCTTTTTCAAATTTCTGCATTTGAGTCAATAAAGTCCTAACAGGTGTATTAGAGCTGCAATAACCTTTCAGGTCTCTAATAAACCATTAAATATTTTGAGATGTTCAGTTGTGGTCCATTTCTATATCATGGGTTAAAATGACTAACACTACAATTCCTATACTACTCAAGGAGTGAAAGCGAAACGATAGTTCGACCGATCAAAATCTGAGACAAGGTTACTTTCTTCCCGAACACAGATGCTCTCATATTCAGAAAGGGATGTATGCGCACATGTTCATTTGTTTGTTCCTTATCAATGTCAGACTGCTGAGTGATCACCCTCCTGAGAAGTCAAAAGTGTAATAAGCCGATGTTCGCACACACCTTGACAGACTAGACACAGCCAAACTTATGGTGAAAATAATGCCAAACATTGATAAAGTGAGATGGCAAACTGTGACCTCCCCACGGAATGAAAAAAAAAGGTTTTTAAACAGAATTATGCGTCGACAGAGCGCAAAAGTTACCATTCATTTATACACACAGCGCTACCTAGAGGAAAAATAACATAACAGACATTGGCAGAAGAAAAACTCACTTTTTCCACAATGTCCCAAGTGAAGTTAGAATAAATAACTCCTTGGGATGGTTACTTAAATTCATGTTTTTCACCTTAATATTTACAATTCACGCTGCTCTCATGGGCTCTCATTGGCACCTTCATTGCAGCGTTGTCTTTCCAAGTACTTTGTCTGTGTTACGCGTGAAAAACCTAACAGTACATGTGCCAAACTTTTCTGAGGATTTGCTAAACAATCTGCGTGTTACATCGTTCTGAGTTGATGTTCCAGTCTTGAACGCCAAGTAGACTTCAATAGTACATAACTCCAAAACACCAGCAATGCAGTGGGTTAGAGCATTCATCCACTCACTCAGCCGTGTGAAATAACTCTTATTATAGAGCTGGGTCAACATCTTGTCAATGATGAGGATGTCTGTGGTTGCATTAAATCCAGTCTTCGCCCTCCTCTGTTCCCCTTCCATCACGTCATTTGCGTTAAGGTGGATGTCACGTGGGATCTGCATGCACGATGTGAACCATTTATAGATGTTGTTAAGACTAGTGATAGGTCTTTAGTTTTCACTCGAGAAGTCTCCTGGTTTGGGAATGGGCCGTGTTTTACCCTTTGCAAACCATAACAGGGAGGCCTCGTTGACTTCAGAAATGGCCTTAAATGCTCGCATAATCGCTTCGTGACACCTTGCTCGCTTCCACCAGAAGTTGACTAATCTCTCCGGACCAGGTGCACTAAAGTTTCTCTTCTTGAGAACGACCTTTACGAGTACCGCGGTTTCTAGCATCCAGTCCTGATCTGTAAAGGAAATTGCTTGCTACCAGTCCCTCTTGTTTCCCATAGGCTCTTCCAAAAGATACTCGCATCTTCAATGTTCTCGAATACATCAGTGTTACCATAAGAAGCGTTCTTAGTTTCTCTTGGTTACGTAAGTCAATCTTATGTTCCATCACACATGAATGCAAACAAAGAGTAGGACCGTCTTGTATCTTGTTTAAATTGTTGTTAAGTGATCTTTCCTCATCTTGTTTCAGTTGCCTGCTGTCCCTTGTCTCTCCAGCTCTGCCTTCGCAATGGATATTTTCTTGCGGATTTCAGCCGCTTTATCCTCAAAAACGTTCTTCTTCCTGGTACAATTCTAAGTTCCACTGTGACTCGTGGCTATCTTCCAGCCTTTTAACAATAGAAAGGCAACAACAGTTAAGTAGAGAGCGCAGTTATCGAGCCACAAATAGCCAAAAGGGTTTTCAGAGGACGATACGCGGTGCCGGTTCATAAATTTCATCACACTCTTATTTATGTGTTATTATTGTTATTATCTCTTCCATCACAGTCTTAACTGGAGTTTTTTTTTTGAGCATCAGCCGGGTGCAAACCATGCACCTAGAGCATCAGTCACTCAAGTCAATCATTCTGTTCATACGCCAAGCACCTTGTGAGGATTCGCGCAGATCCCATGTGCTTCTGATACTTTCTTTACGTCTTCCACGATCCTCCTCTTTTCTGTACCAAGCGCACCAACAACCACAGGGAACACCACGGTTTTCATATGCCACATTCTCTGTATTTCTTATTCTAGGTACTTGAACTTGCTTTTCTTCTCCACTTCCTTCAGAGCGATGTTCCTTTCTGATGGAACAGTCATATCAATCAGTTTGCAGATGGAATTCACTGGATCTTTAAATACGATATCTGGTATATTTTCTGTTATAGTTCAGTCAGTATTGACCGGCATGTACCATATGATAGTGATGTTGTTTTCTCTGTGTGCATCACAGTCTCTGGCTCATGTTGGTACCATTTGTCTGTAGTCTCGATATCATGATCTTAACAGATGCTCCACTGGAGTTGGAGTCCTAGACTTGAATATGTGTTTCAGGGCCTTAGCATTTTCCGAGGCCAATTTATCTCCTCTGTTCTCAAGCTCTGGCATTGTAACTTCCCTTTTGAACTTAGTAGCATTCTTGGTTATTGAAAATTTGTCTTTAGATCTTTCATGTTCCAACACCTGCTTTGGATATTGCCCCCTGTGTGCCTCAGATAATTATTGAGCACTATTGTTGCTGTTTTGAATGCCGTTTCTACATCAATCAGGCCTCTTCCTCCATCTTTTCTTGGGATGTACAGCCTTTCCACATCTGCTTTAAGATGTAACATCTTATGCATTTTCAATAGTTTGCGTGTTTTTGTGTCAATCTCCTTAAGTTCGGAAATTTTCCAGTCTATTTGACACAACTAGGACTGCAAGACTATTGATAGCTTCTACTTGGATTCTTCCATTGAGCTCAGTTTTTAGGATCAATTTGACTCTCCTATTGTATTCGTTTCTTATCTTCTCTTTCAATTTGCTTTGCTGGATACCATCACTCTCATCTACACCCAGGCATTTGTATATCCTTTCCTGGTCCAACTCTTGCAATTCTGTGTCTTCATCTATTACTATGTTTCCAGCTGAGGTCAGTTTACCTTTCTTCATACAGGCTTTGGCGCATATACCAAGGAGTTTGCATATAATTTGCTGTTGCATATAGGCCAAATACCATACCGATATCATCACTGAATTGTTTCACTATTTTCAGTTCTCCAACTTGTTCCTGCTCCTTCTTGCTGTATAATTTTAGATCATCAATATAATACAGATAAACTGATGTTAAAGACACAAGGGCTAGGCAAAGTAGCAGAGGTGAGAATGAATCTCCTTGAAAGATTACCCGTTTGATCTTGATCTGATCCGTTGTGATGCATCCATTATTGTAAAGCAGCTTCATTGTAGTTTTCTAGTTGCTCATTAAGGTTTCCACTAACTTGATTAGTTTTTCATTTCTGCTGAATTCTTCAAGATGGAACGCCGAAATGTTTCTGTTGCTTCTTTCTGGTGGTTTTTCAACTGATGTCTGTTCTTTACCAAGGTTTCTAAAGAATTTTTTCTTTTGTTTGCAAACATCTGGTTTTGCCTGAATTGTTTTCTTCTTTTTACATATCTCCTGAGTTTTTGGGCTTTTGCTTGAATTTTGATGGATTCTCTTACTGTTTGCAGTTCTTGATTATTATCATTATTATTATTATTATTATTATTATTATTATCATTATTATCATTCAGTGAGAATCAAAGTGTGAGAGCCTAAAAGTTATAAACACACTACGATACTCAAATCTATATGAATCCTCTTGAGGAGCAAGGGAAGCCCAGAAAAAGACAGAAAAAGGCACAAATACTTGCTTTTACAGGTTAAATTATCTCGCATGTAAACGTGGTATGAAATTAATTTCGTTCCGGAACGATTTGATATGTGTCACGCTTGTCATGCAACTGATATAACAAGATGGAGAAGATACGTAAAACGGAACTCAAATCTGGCTAGGATGTCGTATAGCCTAACGTGATCATCGAAACAGCAAATAAAATCATAAATAAACAAGATAAGAGTGTTATGTTAAACGGTGGCGACAAGTAGGCACGCCATGTATATTTCATAGTCGCAAGCAAGTAAATTTGCCAGACTTTGAGTTCGTCTCAAGATAGAACAACACAAATACACAAGGAGATTTTTACAGTAACTTTTTAACCATCCTTTTGTCTTTTAAAAAGCTTCATGCTACTTTTGGAAAAAGTATCTGGGACAAAAATATTCGCCAATAAATAAATATTTCTTTACCAGCTTCAACAATGACAGAGGATTAAGTTTAGTTAATAGAACAAAGGATTGTGAGGACAGAAATACCGGAGGTCAAGTAAATTCGTGACATGAGATCATACAACTCGGGAAATATTCACGGTGAAAAGTTGCATATTTGAGCGGTCGAACGAAAAAATCATTCCTCGAAAGCTTAAATACATTTTCACAAAAAACCTACACCAAAACCATTAGGACATATTGGGCTACAAAGTATGAAAGCAGGAGTAAAAGCAAACTTTTGGTGACTTGCCGCTGTTTGTCTCATGCATGTTGACGTTAGCTCTAAATATCTCACTTAGACGATTTTTCACTTCTCATCTCCGATTTTTTTAGCACTATATTTTCGATCAAATGACGAGAAAAAGTTTAATTTTGGATGGCATTACGAGTGCTATTAGTTTTAGGTAAATGTAAGAGAATAATATTTCAAGACTGAAATGCAACGCCATTTTATTTCCCTCTTTTCCATAGTTGCATACTGGATTTTTCTGATTATTAATCCGATTTAATTCTTATCAAGATATTTACAGGCACAATCATTTCTGTCCATATCTTCTACATTCACATTATCGTGCAAAAATCTGCAGAAGAATCCGCCCATTGTGACGCATGTCTGTGATCCCGTGCAAGCAACAAAGGGACAGTTGCAATAGATTCCATAATCATCTACGGTATGGAAGTTGTCACAGTCTTTCCAGTCACCTCTGTACTTGACTCTGGCATATCTCTTTGGTAAAGAATATCTATCTACAAGAAATGGAAATAATGAATAAAGTTCTTATTAACGATAGTAATCAAAACATGTCATAGTTTGCACAAGCCTAAATCATTCTCTTCAATCTCCAGACGTACTGATGTGCAATGTATCACACGTCACCAAAAAAAGAAGAAAAACAAATAAACATCAAGGGGAGTAAGTTTCTACAGAAACTTTGGGGCTGCGTTGGCAGAGGATATTGCGAAATAAAATGGTTTTATGATGTGATTTGACAATGTTAATTGGCCACTGTAAAGAGCGTCTAAAGCTGACGTTTCGAGTGTTAGCCCCTCGTCAGAGGAGAGAAAGTAGGAGCACAATTGAGATATAGCATCCTTTCCTCGTCTTTCGTTTTAAAATTCTAATAGTTTAAGGCTAGATTAAAACTGGTTAACAGAATTCAATAAGTCAAATTGAAAGCAGAGGTTTTTAGAATACTTTACCTTGTATCTTGGTTTCGTTTTTTTTCAAGTGTATGGCAGGAGCCGAAAGAAATGCTAAAGACAAAAACAAAACAACACTTGTGAGTTTGAAACTCATCTTAAAGATAGGACACACAGGAAACTGAAAGAAAAGCAAACAAGAAACTAACAACATCACTGAGAGTTAAGATTCGTTACTTAACAAGAAAGATTAAATGACAAAATAAGTACAAATGTAGGAGCACGGTTGTCCCGTTGAGCACACCGTCTGCGAGGCGAGTGTATCACCGTTCTTTTAACTCATAGTTCACATTACACAAAAGGCTTTTGTAAAACTTCTTCTTGCATGATGCAATTGCAAAAAGTCGAACTTTCACCTATAAAAAGCGTGAAGTTCACGATGAAATACATACACAAAGATAACCAGTACCACGCAGGAGAATAAAATGCAAGAAAAGAAGCTGTAATACGGTCCAATATCAGAGACAATTGTTAAAGACCATAAAAATTGTAAATTTTACGTGATTTCTCTACTGCTAAAAGAATACCATATAACGACGAGCTTTGATTCAGAAAAAGAAATTGAAGAATGTCCGAAAAATAGTTTCAAATATGAAGAGACTTTACCTCAAGACTTATCAATCAACAGACCCCTTGGTTGCGTTTGGATTGGAGAACTGAAACGTGATTGCCCTGCTCCTTAGATAAAGTTTTTCACGGTGACTGCGTGGGACAAATGTAACAAAGCAACCACACTGCAACCAGACAAAAACAGCCAAAAAATTTCGGTGAGCTTGGTGGAATATTGAAGGTACAGTCTGATAAACTATCAGGTTTATATATATTTATTACCTGAACAAGTGCTGTATTTTGAAAAGGGTGATTGGTATGGTGCTTTGTTTGTTTTTCACTAGCTTCTTTGTTTTATTTTTAGCCCTTTCTAAAGCGCCTTTGTTGAAAAATAAGAAGATGACCGGAAATTTTTGAAAAACATAACAAACGAGTTTTAAAATTTTCGACTAGCAAACCAAAGAGACAGATGCGTTTGTTTATTATATGTGCGCTTCTCAAAAGGACTAGAAACTGTCTAATTATATTACTAACCTAGACAAGATTTTCCCGTTTACACCGATATTTTTGGCTTTTTCCCCACCAAGTTACATAGGACAAAAAATGGCCGATCCTTATCCATAATAGTAAATGGAACAGAAAAAGGGGAAGGTATTGGCAACTTCAAATCAAGTTACGAGCAAAGGCAACGTCGAAATTGAAATGTTTTACAAGCGCAAAAATATAAAAACATTTAATGTTATACTAAGAGCGACTGAAAAGCATGGAAGTAGTTTTGAGAGTCACTAAAAGAATGAGGTTTATTGAAAACATACCTGCCTTTGTGCTGGAGTCCCCTTTGTTTAAGTGTTTTTTCAATTATCATTATTTTATCTCCGTTCGTTAACAAGATGGTACCAAGTACGAGCTATGCACAGTTTTTTAAGCTGCCTGCATGAAAGCCCGAGAATAAGGATGCACTTCCACTACAACGCAGCAAAATGTCTTCATGTTTTCTAAGAGCGTGAACAGTGACATCTTGAAGACTGTACATACAACATCAACGTCTTCTACGGTGATTAGTCTAAGATCGCAATGCTGAACTGACGAGAACATATCAAGCCACAGACAGGCGTAAAAATTCACTACATTTTCTTTATCGAGCGTGTACCACAATAACGGCCATTTTTTTTCTTCATTAATCAAATTTTTCTAAGGGTGGCCTTTCAATAGCTATTTCAGCCCTGTTTCAACTGGAGTAAAATGACAGAATCGATGGAAAGGAAGCGTGAGCCATAAAAACTGAAAAAATAAGTGCCAGGGGAAATTTAGTTGCATATGGTATGGACCCTAGGGAAAGTCCAAGCCATCGCAGTTACATTGTGTCGTCATCAAGTTAGTCAAAAGATTGTAACATAAAACTATAACTACATTTCGAAACGGTAAGGTACGAAGTTCAAAAAAAAAAAAAATGCCTCGAAACATTCTGCCGGTAAGAAAAAAGTTTTAATAATATAGTAATATTGACCGCTTAATACCAGGCAACTAAGTTATTTCTAGCGTTAACTCTGTTATCTTAACTCGTAACTAGTCAGATAAGAAATCGTTTGGAGCCGTTACACCATTCAAAATCAGTAGTAAATGTCAGCAAAGGATCGAAAAAGGTTTATGCAAAATCTGTTTTATGTGTCATACATAAATGCATCTGCCAGCGCTATCACTGCAGATGAACTTGTTCGCTTCTCTCGTCTTGAACAGCTATTCAACGAAAGTCAGTCATTATTACCAATCAAAGTGCTCTGTGAGCAAACTCGTGAATTGACACATGATTTTTTAGATTATGTTTATACCAATCGAGCGAGCGAGCGAGCGAGTGCCATTCTCCACATCATATCTACAACTCGCTCTTCCGCATGCGCGCAATTCACGAGTTAAAAAGGTTTGAAATCGTCATAAAGTTTGACAAGCAAGTTTCTTTCAAAACAATGGTAGTTCCCCAATTACGGAGGGTTGTTACATCTTGAAATATGGTTTTATTAGAATTTATTAATTGGTGCGTCGATAAATCCTATACAATCTTTCTATATAGTCATAGTAATTATAAAAATTCCCCCTCCTAGAAGAAAAATGGAAAATGT